CTTTTGGAACATTGTGTTCTCTTCTCACCTCTCTGGCCTTCCCTCTCAGTCTTTTGTGCTGGTTGGTCCCATCTCTTAAGCTCTGACATCTTGGCATCTTCTAGGGAACAGTCCTAATACTGCTCTTTTTTCCCACCTACTCTTCATTGGTGATTTCACCCAAGCTCATGGCTTTAAATGCCATCTGTAAACCAAGGCCTCTCAAATTTGTATCTTAGTCTAGACCTCTCTCCTAAACTCCAGACTTATGTATATTGCAATCCCTATTTAATGACTCCACTTAGACGTTTAATAAGCATCTCAAAGTTGGCATGTCCACAGCTGAACTCCCAATCCACCCTCCAAAGCCTGCCCTTCCTTCACTCAGTCTTTCCCATCTCAATGGAAAGCAACTATCTCCTCATGGCTCAGCTAAAAATTAGCACCATTTTGGCTTCTCTCCTCTCATTCACCATATCTAATCATCAGTGAATCCCAATATCTGTATCTTAGAGATGTATTAAAAACTGACCATTTCTCTGCTCTGCTGCTGCCCAAAACGCCACCACTGCTCGCCTGATTGCTGCAATAGTCTCTGTGCCCTGCTCCGCCCTTTCTTTCTTCGAGTCTATTTTCAGCACAGTAGCCAGAGTGATCCCATCAAGCACGGTCAGATCAAGTCGTGGCCTCTGCTGAAAATACTCTCCTAATTTCCCATTTCATTCACAGTGAATCACCGACAGCCTCAGCTGATTAGTGCCATTTTTGATCCCCATTACATCTCTGACCGTACCTCCTACTCCTCTCCCCCTCATTCACTCTACCACAGAAACACCAGCCACTTTGGCTCCTCTGGGACACGCCACGCATGCTTCTGCCTCAGGGCCTTTGCACTGATGTGCCCTTGGCCTCGAGTGCTCAGTCCTCATGGCTTGCTTCCTTACCTTCCTCAGGTCTTCACTCAGACGCCTCCATTTGATGAAGCTTTCCAGAGCTGCCATATTTAGAACTTCAACCAGCCACCTCCCTAAGCATCCCATTTCCAGTTTCCCTGCTTATTTTCCTCCATAGCATATGATAGCATCATCAGAATTTATAATTTATTTACCTCTTTTTATTGTCTGTCTCTCTCAGACAGACAAGTCCATTCAGTGCTGTATCGCTGTCACCTAGAACAGAACTTAGAACATGTCAGATCAATATTTAATGGTTAAAAGAATAACTGAATGAAAGGTTAAGCAACTTTCTCAGGGACACACAGATTGTATGGGCCTGGATACACCTGAGTCTATCTGGGATTAGAGCCCAAGTTCTCATCCATCACACTAATCTCAGCAAAGGAAGAGAACTCCAACCTACACCCAAAGGCAGGTGTTTCTATAATTTCCTTTGTGTGTGTTTTTAAAATATTTTTATTGATTATTAGAGAAAGAAAGGGAGAGAGAGAAAGAGAGAGAGAGAGAGAGAGAGAGAGAGAGAGAGAGAGAGAGAGAGAGAGAGAGAAAACACACAACATATTGATCGGCTGCCTCCTGTAAGCTCCCTACTGAAGATCTAGCTGGCAACCTGGGCATGTGCCCTACCCGGGAATCAAACTAGCAATCTTTTGGTGCATAGGATAATGCCCAACCAACTGAGCCACACCAGCCGGGGCAATCGTCTCCTTTGTTTTGCCCTCCCGGAGCTGCACACTGAGGCAGGGCTAGGGCTGCCTTTGCTTCGCTAGACAAGATTTATTTACTTCTGTTCAGTGGCGGAGATGCCTGGTGCCTGCGTGGGCAGAAGGGGAAGTCTTTGGCTTACCTGCCACTGCCATGGCAACCAGGTAACCTAAGGACTCCAGAAGCAAGTCCTTTCAGACTGAGAAGGGGAAAAATGAGGCAAGCCCGAAATAAACAGAAAGCAACTTGTGAATGGAGAACTGACTGGGGCCCTGTGCCTGCTGCTTGCTGTGTCATTGGCAGCAAGGATAATCCATCCTGTTCTCTCCCTACCTCTAGCTCAGCCATGGCCAAGGGCAGTGGATCACCTTGTCCTGCCTCCAGCCTCTAGCATAACCCCACTAACCCATCCAAGGGCTCACGCTGTTCTCTTTAGCACCCCCAGGGATGGGGACCCCAACACTCTCAGTGACCTTTTGATAACACAAAGGATGGTCCTGGCCAGAAGTCAGGTGACCCATGTTCTGACCCCTGCCCACCTCAGAGGGGCAGACTGTTAGTTCCTTAATCTCAACTTCTCTCTGGGGCTCAGTCGACCCTTTACTCAAAAATGACTCCCTTCCTTACCTATTTGATAGTAGGAGAATCAAGTGGAACTGTAGTAAAATATATATATGAAATTAAAGTCCTTAGGGAAACGGAAGTTAGCACTGCAATATTCTCACAAAAGTCTTACTTGTGTCAGGCACTGTGCCCAGCATTTTGTGTGCTTGATCTCACTCAGTCCTTACAGCTACCCTTGAGAAGGTAAGAGCTGCCCACAATGGGAAGATGAGGAAATGCTGCCTCAGAAAGGTTAAGAAATTTGCCCATGTTTGTACAGCCAGTAAGTGGCAAAGAGGCACTCAAACCTAAGAAGTCTATCTCCTATCTCCCAACACTATGCCCTCCCACTCCCATCCTGCATGGTATCCAGTGGGGCCTGAGGTTAGAGAAGAACTGACTTTTCTCACCCTAGTCATTCCCAGGACAGTCCCTGAGCCCCAGAGTCCAAGCAGATCATCAGGAAAGTGTGTGGTGCCCTTCCCATTTACTAAGGCCCTTTGATCTTTCGAGTTTGCTGAGCTCAGAGGACAAGATCATGATTCCCCCAGCTCAAAGGCTGGAGCCTCAGGGGCTGGTCCTCTCTCACAGCCTGGTGCCTGTCCAGTCAGTGTGCCCAGTTCTATGGGGTTTGCAGGAGCAGCCCCAATCCCAGAAGAAACAATTAGAAAATAATTAAGTGCCAAACTATGGGTGATGAGTTGGGAGAGGAAACAAGTCTGTACCCTGCTGGTGGGCCCTCAGGTGGGCCAGGAAGGGGTGGGTCCGGTGATGAGAAACCAGAGAAGAGACCAAAGGGTGCCGGTGTGGGAGGGATGGCACACAGAGGAGTGTGGAGGGAAACGCAGAGTCTGATGATGTCAGAGACCTGGCTTCACATCCTGGCCGTGCCACGGCTGGCTAGGTGACCTTGGGTTGGTCACTTCCCGTTCTCTTTGATAGAGGTCCCTCTTACATCGAGAGATGTTCACCACCTCAGTTTCTTTCTTTCTTTTTAAAAATATTTTTATTGATTTCAAAGAGGAAAGGAGAAGAAGAGAGAGCTAGGAGCAGCAATGATGAGAGAGAATCCCTGATCCACTGCCTCCTGCACACCCCACACTGGGGATTGAGCCCACAACCTGGGCATGTGCCCTGACTGGCAATAGAACCATGATCTCCTAGTTCATAGGTTGATGTTCAACCACTGAGCCACGCCGGCCAGGCTCACAACCTCAGTTTCCATGTTCCACCATTTAGCTTCTAACAGAGTTTCCTGCAAAGAACAACAAGTCTCACCTGAAATCATCGGGCTGCTGGCTCATTTCCACTTCTGTTCTTGGGAAACACAGGCATGGCCAGCTGGAGATGGCGGAATGTCCATGTTGAGCCCTAAACACACACACAAAAATACGTCTTTCCTCCCAATATACATAAAAATATACGAAATAAAACTTGCATAAATGCCAAGGTTAAAATAGCTTCTTTGCAGATTTATTTATTTGGTAAAATTCTGGATTGCTTCCTCCATCAAAGTTGACTTTTTCTAACAGTATTGGTGTCCTTGCTTTCCTCTGTTTGTGGTGCCCGAGAAGTCCCTGTTCTGCCTTTTGGATCGCACAGTCCTAAGGGAGAGCGGGGTTGGGAGCTTCAGGGAAGCAGCACACCATTGACCTCTTGGCCCCACCTGTGGCACTGAGAAGGTCATGCCCTCGCTTCTCACCTGAGTATGTTGAGGCTGGGCTGTGGGGGGTGAGTCCAGTGAGCCCTGCAGTCCCACATCCAGAGCCACCACAGAGGGCCCAGACCTTGTTCTCAGGGGCGGCCCAGCTCTCTTGCTTCGTGGCTGCTGCTTGGGCAGCCGGCTGGCACCATTTTCGGGGACCGGGAGTAACGTCTCTTACCTGATCCGCAATTTGACGTGGCTGCTTAACAAGCGATTAATCAAACCAGTTTGTCCTGTTAGAGTAAATGAGTCTAGGAAATGCTGCCATGAATAGTGAGGACTTTTGTCCAGCACCTCTCCCCACCCCACCCCCTCCCATCTCCTTCCCAGAGACACACGGCAGCGACTCCAAACCAAGGATTTCTACCCCTTTTCCAGGTGCCACTGCTGCCCACCGGAGCCAGAGCTGGCCATGTCCTAGAGCAGTGGTCGGCAAACTCAGTAGTCCACAGAGCCAAATATCAACAGGACAACGATTGACATTTCTTTGGAGAGCCACATTTTTTAAACTTAAACTTCTTCTAACGCCACCACTTCTTCAACATAGACTTGCCCAGGCTGTGGTATTTTGTGGAAGAGCCACACTCAAAGGGCCAAAGAGCCGCATGTGGCTCGAGGCCCACAGTTTGCCGACCACGGTCCTAGAGGAACAAAGTCTCTTGTCCATCAAACAGACATGCATGCACACCCCTGCCAAAGCTGGGTAGTGTCTGTTTCAGGCACTGAACTGGGTGCTGGGGGACACAAAGGTGAATCATATACTGTCCCTGTGAGGGGTCACAGGGTATGACCCCCTTTGGGTGGCAGAAGGTTTCCATAGAAATCAACTCACTCTTTTCACAGCAGCACTAGGACTCGGGCAGCACGGAGGCTAATCCTCCATTGAAGGTGCCTGGCTCCCACAGTGGGGAGGAGGGAGCCCAGGTCCCCTCTTTGGAGTCTGGTGCCTTCCAACAAAGCCTGTGGCTTGGTTTCGGAGGTGTTGTCTCGGCTACCCTGCTGCCTGCCAGCCAAGTTCTGGGCCTCACCACCCTGTGCCTTTCGTCCTGCAGGGGGAGCTGCTGAGCCCGTGCCGCTGCGATGGCTCCGTCAAGTGTACCCACCAGCCTTGCCTCATCAAGTGGATCAGCGAGCGGGGCTGCTGGAGCTGCGAGCTGTGCTACTACAAGTACCACGTCATTGCCATAAGCACAAAGAATCCTCTGCAGGTAACGCCGGGCTGCCCGCTGGCCGCGGGCACTCTGGTGCGGCGACCCGGGCTTCCCACACCCCCTGCCTTCACCTTAGAGTCAGGGCAGTCTGGGGAAAAGAAATGAGGTGGGCCAGGTGGGCAAGATCACAGATGGCATTTGGGCAGGAGGAAATGAAGAACTGTTGCACATTTTTTTAAGCCTCAGCAAGAAGAGGAGAAAGGAATGAGGTAAAGAGAGAAAAATAGATATAGAAGGTAAGAAGGGCAGTGTCCGATGAAAAAGAGAATAAGAGAGTGGTGGACAGATGGATGGATAGATGATGGAAAGATGGATGGATGGATGGATGAAAGTAGAAAGGAAAGGACAGGACAAGGAAAAAAGAAGGGAGGGAGGAAGAAGAAGAAAGGAAGGAAGACAAGAGGACAGAAGAGAGCAGAATAAGAAAAAGACAGAGTGGATGGGGTGAGGAGAAAGACTGAGAGAGAGCCAAAGGCAAGAAAAGAGGAAAGAAGGAGAAAGGAGATTCAATGGCACTCCCCGCCCTTCAACGTACATGCAGTTCCCCTGGAATCTTGACAAAATGCAGCCATGATTTAGGACTCTGGGCTGGGGCCTGAGATTCTGCATTTCTGATGAGCTATTGGTTGAAGGTGTGGTATGGATGCTGCTGATCCATAAATCATATTTGTGTGACAGGGACCAGAGAAGAATGGAGAAGAGACAGGAGGCAGAGGGAAAGTGAAGAACTGGCAATAAGGAAGGAAGAGCCCCAGGTGGTTGGCTCAACAGATAGAGTATCGGCCTGCAGACCGAAGGGTCCCAGGTTCAATTCTGGTCAAGGGCACAGGCCCAAGTTGCGGGCTCGATCCCCAGTAGGGGGTGTGCAGGAGGCGGCTGACCAATGATTCTCTCTCATCATTGATGTTTCTATCTCTCTCTCTCTCTCCCTTCCTCTCTGAAATCGATAAAAATATATTTTTTTAAAAAATAAGGAAGGAAGAAAAGGGGAGAGGCTTCTGTGAAGGGCAAGGGCAGGGAGGAGCAGGGCTGGGGGCGGGGTCTACCAAGCAGATTTAGTCAGGGCTAGACCTATAAGAACGGAGGGTTCCTCCACCCCATCCCCCACCCTGCCCGGACACATCCATCATCCCAGAGGAGAAGCGGGCCCTGCACCACCTCGGAAATCCTCCAACTCCAGCAGCTCTCCCTCCGAGGCCCGCGCATGTGGAGAGTGCTTGGCTTCTGAAAATACCGCCACATGCACATCAGCCAGCTAAGCTGCCACGTCATCAGTGAGCCAGCAGGCCAGTGAGGGTGGGAACCTGAGTGTCTGCACAGTGGCTTCCCTGTCCTCCTGCGGGGGAGGGGAGAGTGACTCTGAGTCCAGGAGGGCGCTGGTTTGGTGGTGATGGTGGTGGAGTCTCTGCATGCAGCGGGCAGGGGCAGCTGGGAACATGGAGCTGCAGTGTCCAGGGCACTTTATTTTAGGCAATGTGCAGCTTACATGGGGCACTGCCAGGAGTGAGTGAGTGTGTGTGTGTGTGTGTGTGTGTGTGTGTCTGTGTGTGTGTGTGTGTGTGTGTCTGTGTGTCTGTGTGTGTGTGTATCTGTGTGTCCGTGTGTGTGTGTGTGTGTGTGTGTATCTGTGTGTCTGTGTGTGTGTGTGTGTGTGTGTGTGTGTGTGTGTAGACCAGGGAGGCGGGCATTTTTTTCTGGAAGGGGACATTAAAACCCCCAGGTACCCCAGCCATCCTGATGGTGACACAAGGGGTCAGAACAAGAGGTGCCTCCCCGGGGCTGGTTCCATCTTCAGTCATTGGTTTCCAATCTTGCAGTGTCTTAAAATAGCGGTGTCGTGAGACGGCTGGTTCCACACCCCGGTGCCTTAACTCTCCCCTTCCTTCTCGCTGACTCAAGCCTTGAAGAAAGGTCAGGGTCCACACCTGCCAGTCTCTCCGTGAGTGCCCCTGGGCTCACCAACAGGCATTGACCTTTGATGCATAAGACAAAAAAATAAATTAAAAAATCTAGGGATAACTTTGGGGTGTGTGTATTTTAATCTCATAAGTACAGCAAACAAATGGCAGAATCTACAAAACTGAGCTTTTCATTTACTGCTCAGTGACGGCTGTAATTCCGCTGCTTTTGGAAGGGCAGGGGTGTCGCTTCACCTTTCCAGACAGCTCAGAGGGACTAGCAGCGGTGTGTGTGGTTGTTGCTCACATTGTCCCCATTGTGTGTCCTGGGCTCCGTGGGCCCAGCCAAGTGTGAGGCAGCTGCCTGCTGAGCCTCAGAGGGACAACTCCTGCTCCCACAGCCCAGGCCGAGCCCCCACAGTACGAGACAGAGTGGACAGGCCCCACCGCCAGTGAACAGAACAATGGATGGGAGCCCGGGGCTGCCTCTGCTCAGTGTGGGGAGGTTTCCCCCAGGCCCTATCAGTGGTGAGAAACGGCAGCCATGACACTGTGTTACCTCAGTGACCCTCTGCAAGCTCTGGTCCTAGCAGAAGAGCCACCGAGAAAGGAGTGTTGGGGTGGCCCGGTGGTCTCCAGACTTCGTGGCTATTTCTTACCCTTTCTGCTACCCCTGAGCTGCAGTTATATTCATGTTCAGTTGGTGCTCGCTGGAGGCCAGCCACTGTTCTAAGTATTCATGTATAGTATCTCATTTAATACTGAAAACAACCCAATGCAGTGGGTGCTGTTATTATTCCCAATTTACAGATGAGACCGGGGAGGCACAGAGGGGTCAGCAATCTGCCCAGGGACACCCTGGTGGAGCAGGGTTGTATCCAAGGGGTCTAACTTCTGAGTCTGGCCCTTAACCTCTCCCCTGTAGTGCACAGCACTGAGTTTGCTGAGTAGGTTTACCTTTAGGCAGCCCTTACCTCAATGTGCATAACTATATTTTTGCTGAAACATATGAAGAAGCACAGAAAGTGATTTCATTTAACCTTCATAACATTCTAGGAAGTAGGACTGATTATTTCTACTTTTACAAAAGGGCAACTTGAGAGTCTTTATGACATATTGGCTTCTCCTAGGTCACTCTCTGCCAAGTCGGGGCAGAGCTCGGCTGGAACTGGGTCACCTGCCCAGACTCAGTGCCCCATGTGCATCCCCTATGTTGCAAAACAGGTGGTGCTTGAGAATCTTGCATTCATAATTTTGCTCTGGGTCTGGAGGCGGCAGAGCCTGGAGCCGCTTGAACACCCCCCCACCCCCACCCCCAGCCTCTTTGAGACCTTAGTCACTTGTTCTCTGTTTTCTCCTTGCGCTTCTGCTCCTACACCTCTTGGGGAGCTTCACATGGAACATACAGGAGGGCAGCTGTGACGATGGCCCTGATCCCACTCCTTCTTCATGCTTCAGACTGTAGTTGGGGCTCTGCTTAGTTTCCACAGGTGGCTTGGGGGCTGGTCAGAAAGAGCTTTAGGAATCAAGGGAACTTTTTCGTGCCTTTGGTTTTGGGATTTTTTAAATCTGGAGCAGGAGAAGGTGGAGGTTATTGATGACTTGATGATAGAAACAAAAAAGCCCAGTCAAGAACCCTCTTCACAGATAGTGGGACAGGCCCTGGAAAAAGCATTTGTTGTGTAGGTTCAGGTTACAGACTTCTGGAAAATTCCCTTGTTATGTGTAACCCTGGGCGGGAGGAAGCAGTGGAAAATTTAAAGATCCAATGACATGTAATGGGATAATTAAATGTAAAAGTGGATGTCCTACATCCAGATTAGCAAGCGACATGTTTTCTAATGGTTACACTTCCTCAGGGGCCATTGGTCAGTCCAGGCTGGACCCAGAGTCAGTGCCCCCATCCCGGCCATTGAACGCAGAGTGAGCCCCCACTGTTGGCAGGTAGAGGGTACCCTGCCTTCCCTCCTGTCCAGGCCGAAATGCCCTAGGGGATCTTCTCTGCAAGATGTTATGCAACTTCCTATGATCAGGAGATTGTCTTTCCTTCCCCCTTCCTAAGCCTGATCCTTGTAAAATTGTCCAACTTCCCTGCTTAAAACTGTTCAAAAGCATCCCATTTACTCTTAGGACAAAGTCAAACATCTGCGCATTTCCTTCAAGATTCCACATGGTCTTCCCTTCTTGTATTTCCAGTATCTCACCCCACAACCTCTCCACTCTCTTCGCTCCACTTACCCTGGTCTTCTTCCAGATTTTCATACTCTCAGGGCCCCCTCCCCTCTCTTTCTCTAGTTAATTCCTACTCAATTCAAGCAGCACTTCTCCTGGGAGGTCAAATCCCCATTTATAGACTTCCACAGTCCCGTGGACCTCCCTTTCTTACTCCTGATAAATTACTTTTATAAGAAATGATTAGGTTGTCTGTGCTTTCTAGAATGTAAGCTCTATGAGAGCTGACATTTTGTGTGTTCTTGCTTACCACATTGTCTCTAGTTCCTAGAAGAGTAGCTGGCACATAGAGAATACTCAGCGCAAGTTTGCTGAGTGACAGCCTGAATAAATCCCAAACTAAAATCCAACTCCAGGCTCATTCAGGCCTCTGCTACCTAGATTGTCATAGAATAGCAGAATCTCAGAGCTGAAACTCACCCATACCTTAGCCTTCAACCCATGTGTCAATATTGCTATTAGTATAATGCTTTTTCTGTTTAAAAAAATGAAACTTTAGTGTTCATATATAGTCAGTAGATTATATTGTTTTTCTTATCTCTCCTCCACATCCTGGGCCCTCTCCTAGTCTGTTGAATTGGTAATCTTCAGCATGCATATTAAATGGCATACCAGGTGTTGTAGAAAAGTTAAAAAGGTCTGTGTCCTCTCAGCAACTAATAGTGTGAAAGGAAACAGTGTTGCTTTGAAAAGAATATTCTGGGCCCTGAACGCCACCCACATCAGCTCTGCATTTTTACTCCTGCCTCCCCATTTTTCTGTCTGTGTCATAATCAACCTTCCTTTGCAGCCATGTCTGCCCAGAACCCCACCCCTACCTACAATGACTTTTAATCATTTGGTGTGATATAGGTTTCTTCCTACAAAAGTACAACGTAAAACTAAAAAACTTGCAAGAATATCCATTGTATCACTAGTGGAAAGCCCTGGTTTAAATCCTAAACCAGTGGTAAGAGTTTGGGGGTGACAAAAGGAAGAGGGATGGGAATGGGATGAGGGTATCTGAGCAACAGCTAACCTAATGACCATTCACTCCCCTCCCCACAGTGGCAGGCCATCTCTCTGACAGTCATCGAGAAGGTGCAGATTGCAGCCGCCATCCTGGGTTCCCTCTTCCTCATCGCCAGTATCTCTTGGCTCATCTGGTCAACCTTCAGTCCCTCGGCAAAATGGCAGCGCCAAGACCTCCTCTTCCAGATCTGCTATGGGATGTATGGGTTCATGGATGTGGTGTGCATCGGTGAGTTGGGGCCTGTCTCCATGGGAAGTGGGAAGCCAAATGATGGTGAGTTAGACAAACCCCTCAAAACCACACCCTCTGGGAGGTCAAAGCAGAGAAGGTGGCAGCCTTGAAACCTGTGAGCTCAGGAGGGGCTTGTGGCTTAAATTTGGGAGGTGAGTGGGAAGCAGGGAAGAGAAGGAAGATCTAAATATTTCCAAGCATATCTGTCTTACCTGGTTGAAGATAGATAAGGAGGCTTGCCACTATGAAGATTTGTGAAAAGTCTGTTGGTCAGCCTATCTGCATCTGGCTGGCTGAAGAAAGCCTCTTCTCTGTTGTGTACCCCTGGCTGCCAAACCAGACGAGGGCTGCCTGCACATTTAGTTTCATTCTCTTCACAGCAAAATGCCCAGAATCAGTATTGAAGATGCCTGCCTTCTTTCCCCAGCTTTCCATAAGCCGATTCCAATGCCCAAGATTTCTCTAGTCTAATTATTTTCACACTGTGTGTAGCCCTGGGCTTCCACACCCAGCTTCAGGAGCCGCCTTCATGAGGGGCATGGAGTGCTGCCCTGACAGGCTCTGACTCTTCACCCCTGTGTCACCCTGAGCTTCTGCTCTTTTATCTATTTACATGTTTCCATTTCAGGTATGATTCTGTTTAAAAGGCATCAGTATTTTAGAAAAAAGTTGGAAAGCCACCACTTGAGTTCCTTCTTATCCCATTCCCAAATCCATGTTCCCCTCTCCAACCTCCTGTTAGGTTGGTTGGTGGAGGGCTGGGTCTTTCCCCCAACAAATGACATAGGCTGTCAACTCTGAAGTCTTCATCCAAGTGACTGAAGAGTGGGGAGTGGTACTGGTTTTCTGAGTGATGGGAAGCCTGCACATCACAACCCGGAACTCTCAGAATTCCCCTAGGCCATAGCGCTCACAGCATCAGAGTGCCACAGCTGTCTTCCCTGGGCATTTGCTTATGAATTATATAAAAATGCTACAAGGCTTTTTTTTTGGCAGAAAAACATCTATTAACTAGAATTTGGATGGGATTATATTAATGTGAGTTTCTCTGGAATCCTTTAATATTAGAACCAGAGAGGTTGGACACTTGCATACTAATGACAATAGCCAGCGACAGCGACTAATGATGCCAGAACTTGTAAACTTGTCTAAGCATCTTGCTGCCTCTCTGTGCTAGTGAAACCAACACATCAACCCCTAGTTCAAGAGACTGTTAATTATGACATGTAGGCATTGAAATAAGCAGACTGCCCGGGTTTGGAGGGCAGTGGAAGAAAGAGGAACATTAATGGGAGGAATATGACTCGAGGCATTCTAATTTAGTTCCCTCTTGCACAAAATTCCCTTCCTACTCCTGCTGAGGCCTGGCCTTGTTGATGCCAAAAACCAGTTGTGTCTCCATATGGAGGTGTGGGGCTCTGGCATGGAGGGGCCTTCCTGTAGAGGCCCCTCCAGCTGCCCTTCATTCTCCTTTAGGCAGGTTTTTGATCTGTCGTTGATTTGAGCTTCTATGAGACATACTTTCCTGTCACGTGGTGTATTAGTCAGCTTGGGCTGCAGTAACAAACAACTCCAAAATTGCAGAGCCTTACAACTGCAAGCATTTATTTTCCATTCATGGGACTACAAGATGGCTGCGGCTCTGCTGGACTTGGCTGGGCTTAGCTTCTGACTGTGCATTGGCTTTCGGCCTGCTCTGAGCCGTCTCTTCCTGCTGGGCCCAGGCTAATGGAGCAGGGACTACAAGAGTGTATTCTCCTAGCCAAGTGCAGGAGCACAGGAGGACTGGTCGACACATGCAATGCTTCTCAAAGCTTCTGCTCAGTGCTGGTACATTGCTCCTTTTGCCCACAGACATTGGCCAATGCAAGTCACTAACAAGCCTTCCATCAAAGAGGTAGTGGGGCAGGGAAATATACTTCTCCTTCCCCAGTGGGAGTGTGGGTGAGAGAGGGGAGCATAAATACCACTTACCACTCAGAGCTCCATAGGTCTGACGATTGAGATAATTGGACAGAGAGGAGATTTTACAATTGACCAGCACGACTCCCTTGTCTGGCAGTTGAGAGAGCTGGGCCCAGAGAAGGGAAGTGACCTGCTCAAGGATGCTCACCTGGGAGTGGAACTCAAGTTCCTTCTATTAGCCCTCTCACATCAGGTAGAGGAGTCACAGGGGTCACTTATGGGATACCTGCAGGTGCCACCCGCCACTTTGATACACCTGTGTCCACTTACAGGAAGAGCCCTCAGTAACAGGCCTGCCCTGCTCCCTGTGGCTCTGAGCCACTCAACACCCCTACTCTGGTCTACCTGGTCTCTGGTCTCTCCTGATCAGAGGCTATTCTATCATTTTGTTGACTATACTAGAGCTAACAGTGTCAGAGCATGTCCTGCAGGGCAAGGATTATTTTTCCCATTTTTAAATTTTTTTTTATTTTTAAAATATATTTTATTGATTTTCCACAGAGGAAGAGAGAGGGACAGAGAGTTAGAAACATCGATGAGAGAGAGACATCGATCAGCTGCCTCTTGCACACACTGGGGATGTGCCCACAAACGAGGTACATGCCCTTGACCGGAAACGAACCTGGGACCTTTCAGTCCACAGGTGGTCACTCTATCCACTGAGCCAAACTGGTTTTGGCTTTCCCATTTTTTCAGACAGTAAAACTTTGAGACTGAAGGATTTGTCTTAGACTGAGTTGGACTCTCCATTGTGTTTTGCTTTTTTTAAAAATATATATATTTTTATTAATTTCAGAGAGGAAGGGAGAGGAAAAGAGGGATAGAAACATCAATGATGGGAGAGAATCATTGGTCAGCTGCCTACTGCATGCCCCCTACTGGGGATTGAGCCCACAACCAGGGCAGGTGCCCTGACCAGGAATCAAACCATGACCTCCTGGTTCATAGGTTGACCCTCAACCACTGAGCCACGCTGGCAGGGCCGTTCAGTGTTTTTCTAGGAGCGGCTGTCCACGGGAGAAAATGCTGGGAGGCAAAATCAAAAAGGAAGTAATATGTGACCTGCAGAAGAAAGAGGGAGGTGATGGGCAGTAATTGAAATGCATAATTCTTATGGTGGCTGTGACGATGGTGATTTTGATGATGGTGATGATGATCAGTAGTGATAGTGGTTTTGAGGATAAAATTCAAGTACGTGTCACTTCTCCCGCTCTGCAGTGTGCTGGCCAGTTGAGGAAAAACACTCAGCACTGCATAAGTGATTACAGAGTATCAGCTTTTGAGGGGCTCTCTGGAAGCAAGAAGCAGGTGAAGACCTGCAACATCTACCAGAGGTTCTTAATTTCCAGGCTCCACTAGATATTCAGACCCACAGAAGTACTAGTGAGCACCCTGGCACCAGATTCATTTAGAGGAAAGTAGGTCGGGAACTATGGCCTCCACAAGGCAGGTCTGGCTTACCTCTGCAGTGAGTCCTTGCAGGACAACCATTTCCTTGTTGAGATCTAATCTCTTGGCCCCAAATAATAGCTCAGGAAGGAAATAAGATTCACAATAGTGGGTGTAGGACCTACCATGGCATAGTTTCCAGGGTCCCCACAGAAGTCTCTGTTTCCCTTTCCTTTCCTGTGCAATAGAATAATACCACCATCTTCAGAGTTGCTGAGAGGACTGGAGAAGATAGTGTATGTAAGGAGAAGGCACCCCTGAGTTGTCAGTGGCCAGACTATAATAGAAGGCGCCTGATCAGAGTAGGTTCCACTCATAGGCACTCAATAAAGGTTTGCTGAATCAAGTCACTGCCTAGAGAACCTGACCCTGTGTCCTCACATAATTGAGAGTCTGCTGTGATGTGGAGCAGTGCTTCTTTGGGAAGGTCTTGGGTCCCCTCATGCGTGTCCCCTCAATGAGAAGATCTGATTACACTGAATGTCCTCGCTCCACCGGCCTCTCTTCTGTCATCTCTAATGACACTGTCTGCCCCAGCAGGGAAGCTGACAGAGCCTCCCAGAAAACAAATGGGGCGTTCTCTGCTCCAGTGGGTCAAGTTATTAGAATTTAACAAGAGCAAATTAATTAAGGTCTTTGGCACCAAACACATTTTTTTTTCCTTCACTTCAGAGACCCAAGAGATTGGCCATCAAAGTGTCAACTTTGCAAACACAAGGACCTCATCCTTACCATGTTTCTTTCTTACTTATGGGTGGGCCAGGGTCAAGGAGAAGGAAGGAGAGCAACATTTCTGAGCTTGTTCCAAATCTTTAAGACAGCAGAATATGGCTATTAACAAAATTATTTTAAAAATTTTTGTTAAAGTTTTCTCTGTGTGCTGTCTATTTAGGCTTTTTCCTTTGATTTAGAGATACCTGGTACCTGCCCTCTAAAATATAGGAATTCAAATCCTCATTTGTAGCAAATGGGCAGAGGGTGGTGGCAGCAGAATTATTAAAAAAAATTTCAAATTTAATTTTAATTAATATTAACTTAAAATACATGTAGGCCACAAAGACTCCTTCCTTTCTTCCCTCCTTTGGGCTAGAAATGATTTGCCTGTAAAACCTTTTAATTCCCTGGTTAGAAAATTTTGAAAATATGCAGGAGGCAGCCTGATGCAATAGAAGAGACTAGGAAAGAAAAGATCTAGGTCTGAAAACAAATTGGCCACTACTTACCTCTATGACCTAGTTACTTCCTTTTTCTACAACTCAGTCAACTCATCTGTAAAATAAGAGGGTTGAATCTGATAACCTCCAAGGTCCTTCTGGGTCTGACATCCTAGGATTTTGAAGTTATGTCCATTGTGAGAAGATATCATAATTCTCAGAGGTTGACAACTGTGTCTGGGGGGAGTCTCACTAATGGCTTGGAGGACAAACAACCCATAGGCATCAACCATATAGACCAGCAAGTGAGGCTCAGTCTATGTTTCATTATCTGCATGTGACTTGTCCAATTTTCTGAGTTTACTATTAACTCATATCTCACGCATGCCCTCCCTCACCCCTCACGGCTTCCCATGTGTGACCACCTCT